TTTGGCCAACACCCTGTTTGGACTTACTGCACAAAGAACAAAAGTTACAGAAGTAGCCACAACTATTTGGAGAGGTGCTTCTTGAGTGCCAGATCTGTGACCCAGCATGCCACCTACATCTCTCGAAATAGTCCCAGCAACTTCTGCATTCAGTAAATTGAAACATCAGACTGACCCTTTATCATAAAGCACTGTAAGAAACCTTGCCAGGTTAATAATAATGATACATTAAATAATTAAATATATAAGGCAGACTATAGTGTATGTGGAGAGGAAATAAGCAGATTGAATTTATCAACAGGCACAACTCAAAAAGTATAACTGGCAATTAAGCCAATTGCATGGCAAAGTGACTAATAATTTATTTCCTACTTGCCCAATTTTAAACATAAGTTTCAGATCTGATTTTCAACTGACAACATACAGTCAATTTTGCACCATTATGCATCATGTTGAAATTATTCAGAGTTGGTCATAAGAACTGAAAACATAAAACTAAAATAGCATATCCTTTATAGAAATCAGCATTGGGAAGCACAAGATCTTAACCCCCTGCTATTAAAAAAGGTTGTAAAGCTATTGAACTGAATTATAGGCTCTAAAGGACAGTGGCAAGGTGCCTTACAGCCTGTCTTGAAATAATGTTTACTCAAAAGCAAGTCCCTCTCAAAAGCAATTCGTATAACTGCTTTCCCTGGAAAATGTGTGCAGGATAGCAGCCTTCATTTCTAGGGGCTTGTGCTTCATAAGACTTTATAAATTTGCAGATATTTATTCTAACCCCCTGCTGTTGATTTTCACATTTTTTGGCAGGCATTAATTTTCCTTTGTGTAGGGGCAGCTGAAATCAACACATCTCATGTTATTTCCTCCTCATTATTTCCTGGTACACTTAATTGACCATTATTGTGGTTAATGACAGAGCTCTGGGAATGATATTTGATGCCAAACTGCTGTCAGAATACTTGCCAAGGGAACAGGATAGAATAAAAATAGTAGCACCTGTTTATTCCTGCTTTATCGTCTCAAGGAGTACAAGGTAGAGCCCTGCCCCATTAAAATCAATGGGATTTTCCCACTGACAACAATGGGAAAGAGATTAGCAGAACAACCCCATGGGGGTGGAGAACAAGAAAGAAGTGCCACTAAAAGTTTTCATGCTGGATGCAGTTAAATTCCTTCTTGGGGGGTGTTGGAGGCCAGCATGGGAGATGTTTAGCTTTTGGACTACAATTCCCAGAATTCCACAAAATAGATTTTTTTTTTAAAAAAAGTATTTGCCATCTCTAGTCAGTAGAATGAAATAATATCTAGTGATTTGCCCCTTCTCAAGCCCTATAAACAGCAGCACATCTATGCATATAGATAGACCTTTCCACAGATAAACAGGAAACTCCCCCCACTGTATCTAATGGTGTTCCACCAAGGTGCCTTCTCATCACCCACAGAGCTGCACTTCCAGATTTTAAATCACAAATTGCCAGAACAAATTAAGGCATCCAATACAGGGACCCAATTTGAGTCAAGATAGGAAACCACGACATGCCAGGCAGCATTCAGTTGCGGTTTCTCACTCTTGTTTAAAATGTGTATGAGAATATTAAAATCTAAGGTTTTCAAAAAGCAAATTTCTGGCTGTCATATTTGTGACAAGGATAAATGCATGCAGGCAAGATATAAAAGCTGCAGCGTTTAATCAGCAAAATTGTTGCATCTTGTTTTTTCCCTCAGAGCTCTGAACAAATAACAATCATGTGAAGGCATACTGTATGTTACACACTGGAAAACTGCGATGACCCTGTTTAGTTTTACAGTGAAGAAATGCTTACAATATCTGCCCTCCTGATTTTCAAGGACGGATGCAGAAGAAAGACAAGAAGTGTGGAAGCAGCCATGTCCACCAACAAACTGGAAATAAATACAGTCATGCCCTACTTAACGTTTACCCTGCATTACGACGAATCCGCTTCACGACGATGTTTTTGCTCCCTGATGTGTTTAGGGACGGATTCCTCGCTATACAGGCACTGAAAATGGCCGCCTTATTGAGGATCTTTGCTGGACAGTGAGTTTTTAGCCCATTGGAACGCATTAACCAGGTTTTAATGCCATTCAATGGGTTTTTTATTTTCGATTTATGGCGTTTTCGCTCTACAGCGATTTTGCTGGAACGAATTAACGTCGTTAAGCGAGGCACCATTGTAATGCCACTGTTATTAGGGAAGATCTTAACTGCAATTCTGCATTCAGTTCTGGATGCTGCCTTGGAAGAAACATGGCTGGGTTTTGGGCTTAAGCTACCTCTAACTTGTTTCTTGTTCACATCTTATTCTAACGAAGTTAAAACTACATTCATAGTGTGATGTATCCACAAGAAACAGCAGCTTGAAACTAAACCATTTGACACTTGTGTTGATGGCCAACTTATAGTCTTTGGGGGACACTATTCTCCTAAGAATAGTCTGTGACCAAATGTGTACTGGCCTGCACAAACCAGTTCTCTACTAAGCAGTTATGCAACAGGAGTAATAGGCAGTCAGGACTAGACATGGACTCTTCGTATCCCTGGGGATACAACAACTGGCAGCAGAGGCCCATTCTCGCCCCCCAGAACTGGCCAGTTCACTCAGTGTTCACAGCATGGCACTTGGCTCCATTGTCATCCTCATCATGCCAATTGCCCAGTTGGCTCTTTCCCGCCTCCCTCCTCATCTGCTGAGCAGGGGCACTCTGTCCCCTCTCCGTGCTGCAATGGTCAGCTGTGCAGGGAGGCAGGGAACAGCCAGCTCGGCTCCGGCAATTGGTGCAATGACAACAGAGCCGAGCCCCATTGTGCAGTGAGTGCATCAGCCAGTTCTGAGGGAAGGGAATGGGCCTTCTTGGCACCTGTGGTGCTGCTTTTTATTAATATCCCCAGGGATACAAATAGCCCATGTCTAATCAGGACATATTATGGACGTAACTGCATTATACAGTGGTGCCCCGCTATACGCTTACCCCGCATTACATCGAAGTCGCTTAATGATTACATTTTTGCAATCGCAAAATGATGGTTCCTATGGGGGAAATCCGCATTACGTTAATTAGAAGCCTGCTTCGCGAACCGTTTGTTTGCTATATGATGATTTTTCCGGTTCCGCAAAATGGCTTCCCTCTGCAAAATGGCTTCCATCCCTTCTCAAAATGGCTGCTTTCCGGAGGGAAGTTTCGCATTGCAGCGATTTTGAACAGCTGATCGGCTGTTCTCTATGGGCAATCTTCACTGGACAATGAGGTATTTCTCCCACTGGAACGCACTGACTGGTTTTCAATGCATTCCAATGTTGTTGGTTTTTTTGCTTGACGACGATATCGCTTAACAGCAATTTTCCTGGAACGGATTATCGTCATCAAGCGGCACTGTATACCACTTACATGTGCTCTCAAAAAGTGCAATATTCTTCTTGAACCAGGGGCAAAATCTTGTACGGCTTTAAAGATTTACAGATCTAGTCCAGTAGCTAAAATCCAGAGCTGACTCATCAAATCACCACTGATTCCATGGCCTTCTCTAATTGTGACTAGAGATAGGCACAAACTACTGGTTCAGAGAACGGCCCAACTGGTTTTCTGCATTTCGTCACCCCACCCCCTCCAGAGGGCACCCACTCAACAGCAGAGCCCTGGCGCCTCTGGGTGCTGCCTGAGTGGGTGCCCACTGGAGGGGGTTGGGTGCCAAACCACAGAACACCTATTGGGTCATCATCCAAACCGCTGTTTTGTGCCCATGTCTGATTGTGACTTGTGACTTACTACTGGAGTTGTTAGTGTGAGCTTTTGTGTGAAAGAGTTGTTACAACACAACACAACACAATTTTGCCTTATTTCCTTTCCTCATTCCCGTTTGCTTTTGCCAACATGCTGAGACAGACTAACATGGCTACTTCTTAGGAAACAAATATTTGCTGCACTTCAATGCAGGCCCAGCAGGGGGCAGTACACCAATAACAAAGAATTGGTGTCAAGGCCTGTATGAACACACAGACCCCCAAGGAAATCCTGAACTAGAACATATTCAAGGAGGTAGATGGACATTACTTCTTCTGAGGAAAGAACCTTACAGCAGGATGTTCTGCTTTTGCATAGGTAGCACTACAGTAATTGTCTGCTGAAACTGGAACATTATGTGGGCTAATTGCTTTTCCTATTTTTTTTCCTATGGCCTTAAGCCTTCCAGCATTCCCTCTAATATAGCACTGTGACTGATTAAATGGAGGTGATGTTTGCATGTACAGGCAAACATTCATTTAGGAGAGAGGCTGTGTGCCACTATGGCAAGCCAAAAACAATGGCTGCTTAACATAAGCAAGAGCAAGTGAACAAGGAGTTCGTTCTCTTGCACATGCCGGGGGTCACTAAGCATTGAAGGTGGTTCAATTGGTAATCTAACACTATTGTAGGATGCCCTAAAATGAACCAAAGATTCTTTCCTCTCTTAGCTGCCACTTGCCTTAGCTTTCTACATTTTATGAATGTTTCATAAAGTCTGGTCATAGCAGAGACTTCCAGCTCTGACAGACATCTGTGTTAGAACAGAACTTGTGTAATTATAGGTTGGATGGCGTCCCTTGGTGCCAAACAGGGAAAAGGTCTTCAATGAGTTATAAAAGAAAATTAGATAATAAGTTCTTAAGAGCAGAAATCTACCAATGCAAATACTCAACTAATAATAGTTTTCATTTTCCTTGGGGCAAATGCGCCACCTTCTGGACTAACTGCTGCTGCAGTATTTGATGAAGTGGGTGTTGTCTACTAAAGCTTACACCACAACACACTTTCTCTAGACATTAGTGCTCTGATATGTTACGTAAAAATGTTTGACACTAGAAAGCATTAAAAAAACCTGAATTTATTTACATGGCTAGAAGATCTTGCCAGATTTTCTATTATAAAAACAACCTCAATGAGGCCAGTAAACATTTTCTCTGAAATATTCAATTTGCTCTTTTTTTAAAACACCAAAAACAGAAGCAGAATCTATAATAAGTTCATGGCAACCATGAACATAGTACTCAAGACTTATCAATGTTCACTGCTCTTTGATAGGTTTATACACCTTGAGAAACCAAGTATGTCAAGGCTAAAAGGAAATGCTGAATTCCTTAAATTCACATCATGTTCTTTGGGTAGTAAATGTCTGTCATTTTGGAAAGCAATATTCTTCACACAGACTCTTCTCAACTTTCAATTACATATCCTTGCAGGCTGTATGTTACCCCTGTTCAGAGGCCTGGTTTGTGGCCGTTCCTGGTGCTTTAATGGATGCTGCTGCTTCAGTTGTCCGTGGAACCTGTTTTGGGAGGCGGATAGGTACATAGACATTGGACGTGCAGTGCTCCTTAAGGTACTCCCCACCTTTTTCTTCATAATCTTTCCTAGTTATCCAGCCTTCTTCACGGTTCATGTACTCTAGGGCCCATTCTCGAGCTCCATACCACGCATCTAAAACAGGATTGGAAGCAAGATGCACCTACATGGCAGCAAGACAATAGCAGGGTCCAATTAGTGAAAGAACAAATCACAAAATAAGAACAACACATGGACAAAGTTGTATGCTACAGCTATTTGCTCCTGTGTGAAACAGTTTCTTGATATTGTATGATCAGCCTTGCTTTCTGAGGGCAGGAAGAATGACAACCCCGTGGCACAGCATCTGCTCACAACCTGACTTTGATCCCAATGTTTCAGGTAGCTGGCTCAAGGTTGACTCCATCTTCCATCCTTCCCAGGACAGTAAAATGTGTACCCAGCTCGCTGGGGGGGGGAGCACTGACTGCATAATTATGTTGCAAACTGTGGGGTAGTATGCAACCTAAAACAACAACCAGGAATAAGGAGCGGGGGCAAAGCACTGACTGCATAATTATGTTTGCAAACTGTGCAGAGCATGCTTAAACACTGTGGGGTAGTATACAACCTAAAACAACAACCAGGAATAAGGAGTCTATTCTGATGCCTTATGGGTTGAAAGGTCTTCCTGACATATTTACCTGGTACCAGTCCTAATCTTTTAGATGCCAAATGAAAATGGCTTGATTTTTCTATGCACTTAATGGATAATTGATTTTATTGCTGCTACTATCCATCACACCGCACGGGCTCTCATTCTACATGTCCTGGACTTTCTTTTTCTTTTTGTTCACATGCTTTTTGTTCATATTTGTTAGTGTTTTGGAGATGGGATGCCCAGTATTCTGTTGGATAGTTCCACTTGTGCAACAGGAATGACATCATTATCAGCAACAGACTGCTGATTACGGACTTCCTTTATTCTTTCCATTTCAATGTATAGTTCCACCTGTGCAACAAGAATGACATCATTATGAGCAACACACTGCTGATTACGGACTTCCTTTATTCTTATAGTTCCACCTGTGCAACAAGAATGACATCATTATGAGCAACACACTGCTGATTACGGACTTCCTTTATTCTTTCCATTTCAATATCAGCAACAGACTGCTGATTACGGACTTCCTTTATTCTTTCCATTTCAATGTGCACATAATTTCATCTCACTCTATTTTAATTATGCAAACCACAAAACAGAAAAAAGAAGTCTCCAATCAGCGGTGACCTGCGACCATGATAATGTCATTCACATCATGCAAGGGGAGCTATGCAATATTATACTGGCTGATATATTTAAAATAAATATATCTTCCATCCTACTGGTGCTCGGAAGAGGAATCAAAAGAGAAAGGAAGATTCTCTGGGTGAATGACTGGCTACGAAGGTGGTGTCGACAAGAGGGATTTGGTTTTTGAGACCATGGGCTAAGCTTCCTAGAAGAAGGACTGCTAGCAAGAGATGGCTTGCATCTAACAAGGACTGGGAAAAATGTGTTTGCCCACAGCATGATGAACTTCATCAAGAGGGCTTTTAACTGAATTGGAAGGGGGAGGGAGATGCAAGCACAGTTAAGGGGAGATGAAGCCTTACACACAATAAGAATGAACCAAACTGATCAAAAGGGCAACAATAATAACATGAACGATAATAATCACATTAATAATCATAACAATAAACATAATAATAATCATAATAATATTCATAAAAATGTACAAAGACAAACAGGTTGCAGAATACCATTAGTATACAAGTAAAAGACTCTAGATTCCTTCTCATGACTATGACAGGATATGGTGATGTGAAGAAGCCTAAACAAATGTTAGGCTCATTCCCATAAACACTTGAAATGTGGCTTGCTATTACATCTGAATCACCTCAGTATCTGGCAGCACACAGTCTAATTCGGTAATATTTCAGCCTAATTCAAATGCCTCATAACAGCTTTCGACCTCTTGATGTAAGCATGCAGAGTATTTAGGCCAGAATTCTGTTGGGAAAAGCGATAGATGCAAAAGAAATTACCCAAGCAGTTCCCCTGCTGTGACAGGGTATCTGCCACACATCCTGTGTGGCTGGTTGCATGACAGACAACTGAGTAAATGGGGGGAAACCACTTGCATCTTGGTAATTGTGCAAGTGGTTTTCCCCCATTTAGGTATCAGGTATCACAAGTGGCCAAAGTACTCCCAAAGCCAATACTATACCTGAAACGATGACTGAAATGGCCTCATTTCCAGAAGTTCCTTGTGGATTCTGGCTTTTATTCCAGGATACATCACATTCCCACCTGTAAGGAAGACATTCTGGACCAGCTTTTCTTGCTGCTCTTTAGGGTACCTAAATAAATAAAACTGTTGTGAGCTCCATCTGTTTATAGCAGATGAGAAAGGTGGGGTAAAAATATTCTAAATACAGCAGATGAGAAAGGTGGGGTAAATATATTTTAAATAAGTAAATTAAAATAAGCAAAAGTTTAGCACACGCTCCTAAGAGCAAAATCCCGATATTAATAGGAGAAAGCTTTAACAATTTAAAGGGTTAAAAGAAATAATTCTAATTTTATGTTGTTGTTGTTGTTGTGGATTATACAATCTTTCTAGAAGCAAAGAAGCTCCTCTTTTAGATGATCTTTAGACGGTTTGTTGGCTCCACTGACATAACATTAGATCTTGGCCTAGCAGCACGTATGAATGATCCACATAGACTCAGACTTACATATACACACCTTCCTCCTTTGCTGGAGACAAGCAGTGAAAAGAAAAGGCATAAGCTTGAGGTTCGATGCACTTTATTAACCTAGCTCTAAACCACTGTTTATATCTGGACATGGCCACTATGTGACATACAATTTAACATATGGTTTTGTATAGAGCCATGAGTAAGTGGTGTTGCTACTGTTCTTTACATTCTTCTTGAACCTGATATGGAGAGACAGTTATTTTTCAGACTAAAACTCCAGGAATACCCCAGTCAGAATGGCCACTGGCACTGGCCATACTGGTTATATAGTACTGGGAATCCTAAACCAAACTAAGTAACTTTTCCCATATGTGCCCTATGGACCTGTTTCTTACCTTAGACACTACACCCAAGTAGATAATCACACAGTGATTTACTTACAAGTACCCCAGAATCTGTTTATAGCAGATGATAAAGGTGGGGTAGACGTGGTCTAGAGGGGCGGGGTATACATTTAATAAATAAATAAATAAATAAAATCTTGAGCCCTTTTTTTTTCTTTTTTTCAAAGGAAAGGAAGACCAGTCCTTGGGGTTTTGCAGAAGAAAAAGGACATATAAAACTCAATGTCCTCCAAAAACTGACAGTCTGTTCCTAAACATATTAAATGAATTGGAAGTTAAACACTAACCTGTCGAGAACAAACTGCATGCATTCTGCTATGCCAGCCTGCTCTTCACCTATCAAGGATGGCTGGAACAGAATTTCAGGAACTCGGATTCTTTCTGTACCAATAAAAAGCTGGTGATACTCGGCCAGGTTAAATACAGGCTGTAAAAATAAGATACAGAACAGCATGATGTGAGGGCACAACTACACTTCCAAACATTTGCTCCACTTTTGATTTCATTGACAACATGTAAATGCAGATCAAAGTAGTCTACAACTACAGTGATGCCTCAACTTACAACCATAACCCATTCCGGAATGATGGTTGTAACTCGAAATGATCGTAGGTCGAAGCACCATTCCCCATAGGAATGCATTGAAATGCAATTAATCCGTTCTGGCCAAAGGAAAAAATCACACACACACACAAAACATCACTGCAAGATTCATTGGAAAATGAGATTAATTCCTTCCGGCCGAAGGGGGGGGGGAAGCAAGGGAAGCATGCAGAACCCACTGCAAAAGCACAGAAAACAAACGGAGCAGATTGGAAATGCAGAAAGAACAAAGGGACCAGGTCGGAAATGCATAGAAATCAAAGGGAGCAGATCAGAAATGCAAACAGAACAAAGCAAAAAGCAATGGAAGCATGCAAGACACATTGAAAATGGGGAACCCCGCTCACAAAAGCAACCAAACCCCCCAAGACCATCGGAAATGGGGGAAACACTCTAAAAAGCAATAAAAAAACCCAAGACCCATCGGAAATGGGGGGAAAAAAGCAAACAAACCCCTCAAGACTCATCACAGCACAGAAACATAAACCACCCAGCCAAAAAGTACGCTGCAAAAATACCAAGAACAGTTTTTAGAAAACTACGCTGCAAAAATACCAAGAACAGTTTTCAAAAAGCATAAAGCAGCACCATACCTTAGCAGGCAGCCTCCTCGGATCGCATTCTCTCTAACTGCCGGAGTGAAAGAGCTACAAAGAAGCAGTCTCTTTCCCCACCTATTTAGCAATTTGAATTTCCTGCCTTTTCTGTTCATAAGTGGAAGCTCTGGTCGCAAGTAGAAGCAAAATTTTGTGACCGAAGCTGTTCGTAAGTCGAACTGGTCGTAAGTAGGGACAGTCGTATGTCAAGGCACCACTGTACAACCTTCATTCTGTGCCCTCTTATAAGGAGACACTTTGGCCCTGGTCACATGAGGGGAGTGTCCTTTATATAAACACCAAGGGGCTGAATTACCTCTTGAAGCAAGAGAAAAAATAAACTGATAGTATACTGTACCCAGCCATAATGATTGGAATAGGAGGAAATAAATTGGTACTGCTAAAAATTCTTGGGATGTTTATCCAGAGATATAAAGCATGTGACCACAATTCAGTATAACAAAGATATAGAAAATATCATAAGGACTATAAAACATTTCCCTCATGTGACCCGGGCCTTTGTCTTTTCAGCATGTGTCACTGGCAGCCATTTTGCACAGTTGCAACAGAGAGAGAAGTGAGACTGGAGACATCACACTTCATTGGTTCAAATCAGAGTAAATATCCCAAGATCTTTTCTATCCCTTTACTGTTTCTTTGAGGAGCCATTGCACCTGGCCATTATATATTTGTCTAACTTTATGAAACAACAGTGTGTGAACTTGCTACTTTTCCCAACCCCACTTCCTTCTGGATAACATTTCTTACTTACACTTAGCCAAAGGACAGGAAGTTTAAAAAAACAAAACCTTTTGTCCAGAACCTAGGACACTTTAATGTCCTATACACCATTCATTCATTCATGTTAAGTCTACTACACAAAATTTAATTTGGACTATACATCTTGAAGATGACACAGGTATCTCTGGGAACATCTATCTCTTCCACTCTGAATTCCTGTCAGAACCAGCCCTTGACAGTTTGCTCTATTTCAATGGGTAAAAAGAAACACTAAGTACACAGAAGGAAATTTCTGACAAGGAACAGACAAGACTGAGTCAGCCCCTTCCCAAATTTATGCACAGCATAATTGACTGGAAGCAATGGCTGTCAGAAAGTCACTACATAGACATTTTTGGTGAACTGAAAGCATAGTGCATATAAGGACAAACCTGTACTGTAGTGACTGGCTTTTCCACTTCAGATTGCTCCTCAGGAAATAAAGACTCAAATTCATTCACACTTTCTAAATCTTCCATGGATTGCTCACTGCCCAATGGATCCAAGTCTGGAATCTTAGAAAAAAAAAACAGACCACAGATTATTATGGTAAACGGGGGTAAAACACTCAAGCTGGCATGAATATGCTGAGGTGTAAAAGCAACTGTGTCGAAGATGATTGATTCTTTCCTGCCAGCAGGATTCCATCCATATGGTATTGTGTTCTGAAAAGTGGCAATGTTCTTATAATCCCACAGAGTTTAATGAGATTTATGCCCTACTACATAGACTTAGAGATGCAACCCCAACAAACATATTTTTACATATTTCCAGCAGCAAGAAAATAAATGACAATGTCAAAAAAGACAATAAACTAACAAAAATATATATTTTAAAATAAGTTTATGGGGGAAAAACACAAGATTGGAGCTATTTTCACAACCGATAAAAGTTTTCAAAAGAGCACAACAGCCCAGGTCTACCGTATTAGTTATACTCTGGCTTGTCAGATGGTTTGCTCTTGTTTGACTAGACTGTTGTCATCTAGCCATGCTACACCATTAGACTATTCATTTATTTTCCAATTGGGGCCCCTTTGATTGCTTACTGGTAGTTTATATGGTTAAACAGGATGTAAGGACAATCTGGATGTGATATCTACCACTCCACAGATTGCCTGGGTTGATTTGGCTGACTGACTAAACAGGTGCCCCTTCCTCCCTTCAGCTCTCCGTTCCTCTCAAAGCTGCATGCTCAGTGGAAGACGACTGCCATCTCAGTTATATAGTTAAATATTTATGTTGCTACCTTTGTGTTCTTGTAATCCCCAGTATCTAAACAGTCTTCTTTGCAGTTGCAATAATGGCTTTGCTTTTATCCTTTTACTACACATTTCCAGTAACTCTAACAACTGCTTAACGTCCTTGCTCGAAAAGTTCCTTCTTTGCTCAGAAAGTATGATCATTCCACATTTAAAAATGTGTTCAAAGTTAACACAGATTTTTCAAGATGTCTCAGACTTGGTAAATTTTCAGAATCAATAGCAGCTATGCAATATTTTATTCTGTACCCTGCTGATGTGAGCCTGGAAAATAAATATTTGCTGGCTAAATAAACGGTATGTGAATTATGGAAAATTGCTACTTTCGGGCTGCAATATTTATGCAAGTAGCTGTTAAGTCCCAAAAGGGCCGCAGAAAACAGGTCACTAAAACAACGGACTAGGTATGACTAGAGAGCTCACTGTTAGCTAAAGGTATCATCATGTCCAAACATTATTTACTGAGTGAGGTTTCATACCTAACTTAGCCTATTTTGCTTAGCGCCACAAGGCCAGGTAATGGGGGTTTGGGAACTTCATGCCAAGAATTTGATTTTGCCAACTGCAAACCAAATGTGCTATTTTTATATTTGACAAATATTTTTTAAAAATTAGGCAACTTCAAAATAAAGGCTTACATAAGAATAAAGCTTAAACATTCATTTCCATGTAATTAAAAAAAAGCATGTCCTCAAAAAGCTCTTGCTTATGAAAAGGAACTACATTCCTATGTTGGAGAATCCACCACCCTTCAAGGCAGTCCATTCCACAGTCAAACAGTTCTCACTGAGAAGACGTCCTTTCTAAAGTTCAGCTAAAAACCTCCTTTTCTGTAATGGAAAGCCATTTCTTTGGGCCCTACTCTCTGAAGCTGTAGAAAAGAAGCTCAGCTCTTCCAACATCTGAGGATACCTATCATACGATGTCTAAATCTCTTTTCTAGACTAAACACGCTCGGCTCCCTCAACTGCTCCCCACAGGGCTCAGTTTCTAAACCTTTAGCATCCTGGTCATTCTCCTCAGGACACATTCCATCTTCTTTATATCCTTTTTAAACTATGGTGCCAGAAGTGGACACAGCATTTGAAGTGAGTTCTGACCAATGCAGAGCAGAGAGGCTCTGTTTCATTGTTTTGGATCCTCTCCTGCTGATGCAGCCAAATATTATGGCAGGTTTTCTTACTGTTAACCGTTTAGCTTGTGGTTTACTAAGACTTCTAGAACCTTGTCACATATTCTACTGTCAAGCTGGTTGTCCTCTATCCTATATTTGTGCATCTGACATTTCCTATCTTTACATTCAGCGACTTCTGAATCCATCTCTCGAAGCATGAGCCAACCGTCCCAGTTTAATGAGTATCTGCAAGTTTAATGAGTTCATCCAAGCCATTTATGAAAATGTTGAAGAGCCTTGGGCCTAGGATGGAACCCTGCGGCACTCACCTCATCGTAGGTAAGGATGGGACTTCCCAGTCCCGTAATTTAGCAGGACCACACACACACCCCAAGCTGCATTATGGGACTGGGATCAGTCAAATGATATGGAGATAAGAACAGCTCTTTTACCTCCATGCCATTCCCAGGCTGCTTCTTCACACCTTCTGAAAAGCACTGAGATGCACCTTTGTGAACTGTACACCTTTCAGAAGGGGCAAAAAAGCAATGCAGGAACAGCATGGAAGTAAGAAATCCACTCTACCTCCTGCCATTTGACAGCTGTCAGTCCCACATCTAAGGTTATAACTCTACTAGGCAGAGACAAAAATAGGCCAGACATGACCTCTTTTTGAAAAACCCATACTTGTAAATCACAGTGTTTCTTTCTTTTTTTTTAAGTACTCAAAGTAACAATTAGTCTAGGACTTTTCCTGGTATGAATATCAAACTGACTAGCTGATAGCTTCCCAGATTCTCCTGCTTTCTGAAGATTGGAATGATACTTGTTCTCTTCCAGTTTTGTGTGTCAACGTTTATAGGCAAAGACTCCACCATCACATCTACCTTGGGTACCCTTGGATGCAGTTCATCTGCCCTTGAGATCTGAACCTATTAAAGCAACTAGATGTTCCCAGACCACCTCTGTGCCTATTGTTGGCAGCAGCAGGCCTGCTTCCTGTTTTATTCTGCTTACTCCACCTTGGGCACTATCTTCCTTTTGAAGAAGACAGAAGCAAACGAGGCATTCAACAGTTCTGCAGTCTCTCTGTCACCTGTCAGTATTTCCCCATCCTCTCCATGCAAAAGTCCTACTGTTTCCTTGTTGCTTCTTTTGCTTCGAGCATACACATGTGCAACATGCACATAGCTCTATTTTTGGCATCTCCAACAACTACCTCAAATTTTAGTCTGATGTGATGGTTCCCCCCCCCCCACAATCCCACTTTTCTCAACCTTTTCTAAAACAGAAATTTGTGGTAAAGAGGATGCACGCCACAGAGCAGTAACCAAAGCATGCCCGTGTTAGCTTCAACTCAGAAAGCTTCCTTTTTCCAATCCCTTACTTGAAATAAGATACATCTGAACTCCAAAGAGACTATTATTGTTGTTGTTGTTGTTGTTGTTGTTGTTGTTGTTGTTGTTTATTGTATTTATACCCCGCCTATCTAGTCATTTCGACCACTCTAGACTATCATCCCCATTCCACGCCTCAAAACTACTTTTCTGCAAGGAAGTGTATTTCCTATATTTTTCTCACCCCTACTCAATATTCTGTGGTTCCCAAAAACTACCAAACATGCTCAGTTCTCATGGGGCTTTTTAAACGGAAGTTCCCTCTTAGGACTTTTCTTAAAGTCCCTGTTCCCCCACCCCCACATACTTCTTTTACTTCTGCAAACCATGGGATTTGCATTTCCCCTCTAGTTTTCCAGTGGTCCCATTTTAGCTACAGGTCCTGTTGGTGCTCATCAGCTCTGTTTACAACTACAGGGAACAAGGATAAGGACAGCAAAACAAACAGGAGGCAATCACAGGAGATATCTGCAGGGTATATAGTTGAAAGCTGTCAATACAAGTAATTCTTGAAGTACAGTAGTTTGATGCACATTGGTCAATTTTAGAAGGAGCAGTGGGACATCAGCCTTTTTTTCCTAACTAGTCGCCTCAAAGGGTGTTCCTATACATGAGGCTGTTGTTTTGTTGTTTGAATATTTTTTTTTTAATATTGAAAGACACCTTGGCTCCTCTAGGGAAAAAAGGTGGGGTATAAATATTTGAAATAAATAAAAACCACTATGATACCTCTGGCTTGCTATCCACAACATCCACTTCCACGCTAATTTCTGCCTGTAGGATCTTCTGCTTGGTTTGCTCAATAGCTAAGTTCAGCTTGTGAATATAAGACTGCAGTTCCTCAGCAGAGTCCATGTTCAGTTCAACCAACGCTTTGTGGAACTGATCCATTTGGCCATCTTCCAGCAGTTCCTGCAATTTAAAAAAAAGAAAACATCTTGTTGTTCTTACTATACTGGAATGAGTAATTTATAAGAGTCAGTTACAATTGGGTACTTCCTTCTCTCCCTAAAGGGGTGTGTGTGTAATAAAATAATGG